CATTGTACTGGGCAATGTAATCAATCTTTGGCACAGCTGCCGTTGTATGTAGAACTGAGAAGGGTCAGAAGTGTCGATGCCAACAGTTTTAATATCAAGTGTCAGCTGAAATAGTTGCAGACCTGAGATCATAAGAAGAAAGCCAAATCGGGAAAGAATTCAGTACTAACATTAGACTCATGTTGACAAATGACTAATCACTTAGACTTGCCGTTCTGTGTCTTTCCCAGGCAACGGTGTAAAGTACATACAACATTGTACTGAGCACTGATGACACCCTAACTTAAGTACTGCAGTTGCAATTGACTGTTAGCATATTACTATTACTACTTGGAATTTAATTTTTTTTCTTTGTAAGATAAATACAAAGAAACTTTGAATTTGAAACTAAATGTAAAAATAACACCTATATTAGAAATAACACCGACTACCTGTAAGATAAACTTGATGGCTGGATGTTCACAGCAAAAGCCAGTCCTTCTCTTAAATACTCTTACACACATCTCCGCGCACACCCCCTCCTGCAGGCTAAAACAAATTCACATTGTTTTCAAGTGATTTGTTAAAATCAAAGACCACTATCTTTATCCTTTGCTGGTCTCCTGGTTAGTCTACACTGTGGTTGCCATATTTATTTCCAGGTGATGCTTAGTACTCTATTTTAGTGGGTAAAGTTATGACAATTAAGGTGTTACTGCTAGTTCTGATTCAGATCAGTAGTATAGGAAAATGGAGAAACGAGTCATAAAGACAAGGTATTATAATACCATGCTTTCTAAAAGCATCCTCCTTTATGCATCTACATACATATAACATATAATCTGTATACTTTGTAATAAAAAGTGACATTGACATTCTTAAACAACTTAGCATACTATAGACATTCCCATGTATTTAAACTGTGATTTGCAATGATCATCTTTCCCCCAAGCAACTTTGACAATGCAGTGTTGAAGTTAACACTGATTAAAAAGTGGTAATATATGTCTTTATTAATTATGTCTTCTAGTTAAACCTCTCCATTTTGCTTTAGAAGAAACCTGGCAACAGATTATTCAAATCTTGAACTGTATCAAGTAAATGCTTGCACTGATGGAGATGCATTTCATACAGAGGATAAATCAGTTGCTGTAGAGATAGGGACACGCTTAACATACCTGATGTAGACATATTTTCAAGAAACCTGTGGGTGAAAAGAACATGGTTTGAGAGGAAAGACTGCAGCAATGAAAACTGAAAGAACAAATGGAAGAAAGAATAACACAACTGTGAGGCTCTGAAATTAATGAGTTAAGTACAGTCTAGCACAGCTTTGGAAAGTGCTATTAGAAGAAAACCCCTTTCTCTTCTCTTCCATGAAACCATATTAGAATCAACTGGCAGCGTGCCTTTTTCCAACATTAGATCTTAATCCTGCAGTTGCCGCATGCACAGAACTCTGAGGTGAAATGACAGCAAATTCCATGTAAGAAGTGGCAGCCTGGTCATTTTTGCAGCTATATAGACTAATCACTGTATTTTTATCAAGCGCTGTTCATTTTTTAGCAACTCGAACTCACCTTACTTTCCTGAGCATGTTGCTCTGTAAGTGCCTCGTGAGTTTTCTTAACCGTTAACAGGAGAACCATTGAGAAAAACAACATAAAATTGTGAAAAGCTTTTATTAAGATCTTTTGTATTACAATAGCCGTAGTTTTATTATTGTTTTTAAAATGAATTAAGCACTTTGCAATTGTACAGCTTTCCACTAAAACAAAATGACCTTTTATCTAGCATATGTGCTTTATTGATTTACTGTGTAATGTACTTTATTCTGGACAAAAATTTTAATCAGGAACGACAACCCCTTTTCATTTACATGGATTCCATATGTTTCTTTAAAAAACATGCTTGAAAGAACCTTGAAACTGTGGACTACTAGACATTAATTTATTGTATAATAAATACAGGTTTTTAAAAGTGCATTATATGGCAATAACCCTTGTGAAGAATTCACTTTTAGAAAGTCCTCATTATAAGGGAAGTGCTCAATGTGAACACAGTGCAAGCAGTCAAGTTGTCCTGAGCATTTATAAAGGTGGTCGTAACTTTACCTTCACGATGGGTGCGTATTACCACTACTTAATGGCTTAATCCCTTTTTTGTCAACTAGAATCCTTTTGATGTTCACTACTGAATGTGACAGGAAAACGTAAGTGCGGATTTCATCTTTCGTGTGACAGGTGCCAGTAGTCAGGTGTGAATGTTTAACAGCTTAATCCAGAGATACTCTCAGTTCTGTTATAAGGTAGGCCTGCTCAACTCGGTCAGCAACGCCAGACAACTGGCGTAGTAACAGCGACTGTCAGCTCTTCTCCAGCAGTGCAAGATGAGCAAAGAGAGAAAAGGCAAACTTGGAATACTACTTTAGTATTCAAGATTTTGCACATGCAAATACCCCGAGAGGTTGCGGAGGGAAGACAATACAAGCCAAACTCACATTGCTGAGATTCATTTCTCACCTCTCTGACACTGTGGTGTACATGACATTAACCTTTGAACTGACAGCCTCAGCTTTATGTAATCTCTCCCTGCCTGCAATAACACTCAGATTTGACATTTGCTAGCACATGAAAGTGTCTCTCCCTGAAGATGGCAACAGCATCTTTCTGCCAGTAGGCCAAGTATTGCATTGGGCTCCAGCAACATCCATTGTAAACTGGTGTCAAATACCAGTCTCCTAAGAGAGGGATTTTTAATGGTGTGCTAAGAGGCAATTTAGTGGGTTTGCTGATGGAAGAAATACAGTGATTTGGGAGGGGGAAAGAGGGGGGGGGGCAATACTTTATACCAGTCTCCTAAGAGAGGGATTTTTAACGGTGTGCTAAGAGGCAATTCAGCGGGTTTGCTGATGGAAGAAATACAGTAATTTGGGAGGGGGAAAGAGGGGGGGGCAATACTTCAAAATAGTGCCTTTTATTCAGCACAAGTGCTTCTGTGCGTGTGTGTGTGTTTTCTTCTTACTTCGCTGACAAGTACATAAAATGCCGCTTCTACGGACTAAGCTTTCATGGCATTCCTTAAGTGAGCAAGTTTCACTAAAGTAAGGGTATGCAAATTCAATTCATGCCAAGAAAGATTCTCCTGCAGTCCCTGAAGGCGTGTTTCAGCTCATCCAACTTGAAATCTACAGACTCTGGCACAATTTGGCACAATCTGCACTAACGCTGAGAATTTCAGTATGGCAGAACTAGTCCCGCAGTGTTCTCTCTGCACTCAGCAGAGATGGCACAGTTTGTCACACCACAGGTAGTCTGCTAACTATGGCGAAAACATCTCCACTGACTATGAAGAGCATAGGTTGACTAGTTCAGATAAGTTATGTCCTATATTGTTGTATGTCATTTAGTCATATGAAGCCCACCACAGGGGGCAAAAAAACTTAGAATTAGACAGCGCCCCTTCTTACAGGGCTCTCATTTTTTGTGCCATATGAGGAAGAGTAGACTTCCAGTTCCCTGCATTGGTTTTTCTAGGAGACAAGGGTTGCTGCCAGATCGGTAACAGTCACTCCTCTAACCCAGATACAGAAAATAACGCAGGTGGATTGAAAGCAGGCAGCACTCTTTCCTCTGCGTAGCTGGCAATCGCACCTCAGCCTCACCTACTCCTTCAAAACAATTTCAACTTAAATGTTCAACCTCACAGTGCTCGAGTACAAAGTTAAAGCAGACAACGCAGTCCATTCTCAACCGTTTCAAATAGGATTGAGTTTTCTCAGTACTCTGCAAGAGGTGCTCAGCAGCTCATAGAATCGTCATTCATGACTTCGGTTCCTTTGAAAGCCAAAGACTAGTGGCACCAGGCAGCTTCTTCACTTGAAATCCTAGCTTTGCTAAATGGGTATCACAACTAAGTAGTAACATTAAGTTGCCAGACACATGAATTTTCTTGGGGTTTCTGCACTTCCAGAATTACTCAGTAGACTTTTTGGACTAACATATACTTGGCTGTGGGTTGCTTACAACTGTGCATTTTTAAAAACAACTTGTGATTTTGATGAATAAGCAGCAATCCAAAACAAGATGCCTGAATAAGTGGCCTGATTTTCATAGTATAATCCTTCTAAAAAGCAGCTCTTCTAATACAGCCAGCCAGTTAGTTTTGAAAATTTATGCTACATGTATAAAGCTAAACTTTGCATGCAGTGATGAATACGTATGAAAAAAATCATGGACAATCTTTTACTTACTAGATTTGAGCCTGTCGCCAATCTTAAACCACACCAAAACCACCGAATGAAAGTGGCAGAGCAAGAAGCATGGGAAGGCTGCGTGGAACAGTGTTAACTGTGCTCTCCCTGCTGCAGAAGTGACTCTGTTTATGGGTCCATGGAAGTATCAATTTATCAGTAAAATCATCATTTTGCTTTGAAGTTCCCGCTTTGTGTTGCAAAGGATGCAGTCTTGGAGTTCAACTGGTTTATAACGAGAAGTAGTAGATTAAAGAATTCAAAGGTACTGCTGCAGTAGTACTGGGACGCTGGGGAACACACAGCCAGGATTCAGGATTCTAGTGTATTACTCCAAGGCTCTGTAACCAGCTCCCTGTATTGTCTTTTTTATGTGTGTGTGTGTGTGTATATATATATTTATCTATATATATCTCTCATAGCCGTTTCTTGATTTATAAATTTACCTGTTTCAGGTAACAGTGTAAGATCATTAGCATTCATATAGTGCTTGGAGATCTTCAACTGTAATTGGAACACAAGTGCAAAATTGCTCTAGTTTCCCTTAGTAAAAACCGGTGCACAAGGAAAGGACAGTTCCTGTGCCACCACCTAGAAAAAAAGCTTACTTGTGCATCACCTGAAAAAGATGAGAACTTCCCAAGATCTGCCCTACACAAACTTTGGTAACAATCATTCCTGCTGCCTACAGCAAACCCTAGAGATAAGAAAAGGCACCTTTTTTTTTTTTAAAGGGAAACAGAGGGGCTGATGGGACATTTTCATTTATGTTTTGCTCGTAATAACATTTAATTTCCAACCCAAATATTAATGGAAATATTCAACATGGTTACAGTCTTAATAATATATATATATAAATACAAGTACTTCCCTACAGTGTCTGCCATCCAAATTACGCATAAATGGAATAGTGCCCAGACTCGGTGAGATAATTAGAAACAAAACCAGTAAAGCCACACTGCCCATTTAGAAAACAGACAGTACTAAATGGTAAAATAGATCAGTTAGAAATATTCTATGCAACCTAGAATATTACTAGCAACATGAAGTGTCTTGTTTTGCGCTCTGGTAGTCTGACAGCATCCCTTGGAACCATTCTGCACTGACTTATACACTACAAATCACTCGGGCTTCCAATGGATGTAACTCAATACACATTTCTGCCCTTTTTTATTTCCAAGAGGTTTAGAACAGTTTGTACGGGTCATTGGCTACTTCCCTGCCCTGGAACACTTCGCCAGGTTTGGCAGGTTTCAAAAAGGAGACTGTTGCCACAGGAGCAGAGAGCCATGCCAAGGAAGAGAGTGCCACCGAGACTGCTGACAAACTGCTCTGCATCCACTTTCTTCATTCAGATGAAGTGGATCCAGCTCTCCTCACATTCTCTAGGCATCTTAAGGGGGTGAGTCCGGCAGGTGAGACTGTAGTTTTTGCCTCTGTTGTTATCCCAATACTCCCGGCCATTGACTTGGTACCTTGCTGCAAACTGGACTACAGAGCACAGCTGAAGGAGAAAAGGAGGCACAGGGAGAAAGAAAGTGAAAACATCAACCTGATCCTGCCCGTTTTTCTCAGGGATGCTACTGTGCCAATGAGCACACACTTCATGGAGGCTTTTCCACTGGTTGAACGTGTATCGCACAGATACCTGCTTCTCAAAAGCAACATTGCAAACCTGGATGCTGCCACTGAGCCCCAAATCTGAGCTGCTCACTCGTTCAAGACACACCTGCTGCTCCTGAAGTCGGGAGGAGAAATCCATACAGTCTGCAGGCTGCTGGAAGTCAGGGACCAAGCACTGCATGGTAAACTCCAAGTCCGAGCTGCTGTACCAAAGGTCTGAGTTTATGGAGAGCCTGGAAAGGACATGCAAGGGGATCGATGGATCCTCCCCAGTCTGGAAGACTTTCACTTCAGTCAGCTCCAAGCCCAAAGCATCAGCAAATCTCACCCGGTTCATACGACTCTGCCATCCAGGAACTTGACACTGCACTGCTGCCTGCTTCCTTCTTTCGGGTGATGTAGGCAAAGATCTCGTTCGGCGGCGTATGATAGGCCGTAACGCCGGGTCACAGCTGGAGGAAGTGCTGCTCTGAAGCTTATTTGGCTGGGGGCCCGACTTGGCTGGAGTACTGCTCTGAAGAGTCATGCTGCTATTTGTATGGACTGCTGGGGGCTGCTGCTGCTCTCGTCCCAGTGCTGCTTCAGCCTGTAACATGTTCTGATAGAGATCAGAGAGGTAGCTGGGATTCCTCCGAGGACCACGTACCTCCATTCTTAACCGATGACAAGAAAATCAGCGTTAACACTGCAGGTAATAATGAGCACTGCCTCTCTGAAGTACGTAACTAGGGAACGGCAGCCACGGACAGTATTTGAGGTTATTGCACCGGATGCAGCAAAAATCAACTGGAACAACGTAGCCTGCTGAACGAAGGGCAGAAACCTGGAAGCTCACGCAGTAGCTGGAAGTAAACCAGAGGCTAGTACCTTGTATGGGGAGGTGAAGGCAGTCTCACTGGCTGGTAAACTCGAGGCCACTGTGCTGGCTGGTGGACCCGTTGCTCAGGCTGGACAGCGATTCAAGGCTATCACCCTTTATGCTGGAGGACCTGAAGCTCTCACGCAGGCTGGAGAGTGACTGGAGGCTGTCGTGCTGGACACCGAAGGACTCCAGGCTGTCGGAGAGGTCACTGGATGCCCGGGGCTTGCTGTGGTGCGCCCCGAAGCACCCTCGGCCGTTACACACAGTGGGAGGGGCCTGCAGGCTGTCCTCGCAGACGCCGACCGACCCCACGCTCCTGCAGCAGCAGCAGCAGCAGCAGCAAGGACACTCCAGGCTGTCACACTGGATGCTGGGCGACTTGCGAGGGCTGCCGAGGCTGGGGAAGGCTTGGAGGCTGTCGGGCGGGAGGGAGCCGGAGCCGAGGCCGGGGCTGCTGC